AATTTATGGCTAAATACTGTACTACTTTATTTCTATTTCGCTACTACGTTGCTACTAAATTTAAATTTCAGTAAAGTTGTAGATCAATGGCCCAAGGCCAAATTGTCTGCAGGCCAATATGCCATCCGGCCATTATGTTTCGAGGACAAAAAGGCCTCTGAACAATTAGTCTTTGCTGGGTTTTAAGTGTAAAAGAGGTGGATTTCGCTTGAGTAGAAAGTATCAAGTGTTCCATATATTCCCTAGATATAAACGATAAATAACATTAGCAAATATCCCCTTTCCCTTTTATTTGTAACGATAACGAAAATATATAATAAATTGCGTATCTGATCTTATAGAGCGCCGACGATTGAGGCAATACTTTATTTACGTAGATTATGTTAGATTTCTCTTGTTGTTAATAAATAAATTTAACTCATTTCAATAAAGAAACCTTCTGCCCTTTCTATCGTTTATAACCAATAAACGTCACGAACTGCGTGCAACAGTATCAATTATCAAATTTCTTCATATACATTATAATCATTATCACTTTCATGATTATCAATATTATCGTTTATAAAACTATTATCTTCTTCTTTTCCATCAGAATCTTTCTCCTCTATATCTTCTTCTCTAAAGTTATTTAAATCATTTTGTTTTCATCATTATATGTATCATAACTTATATTTGATTCTCTAAAATAATAAATAAAAACATTTTACTTAGTATCAATATAATTGTAATTTTTACTTAAAATAAATAGTCCCTTACAATAGTTGTCTACGTTTATACATATTATATTTACCTGGGTTAAATAATTTAGGTTGTTTATTTTATTAAGAATATTAAGACTAGAAAAATTTGTATTTCGTAATCAAGATAATGGTTTTATCAACGAAATAATTTATTTTGTAAGACAAACAAAAAAAATAAACGATTAGGAAAAGTCTATTTTAAAGTTTATTTGATATAATATAATAAAGCTTAGATGCATCATATAAATAAAAGTCATGATTTTGATTATTACAAAAAATGTTATATTAAACTATTACCGGTGTTTCAATAATTTGTTTGATGTATTTAAAGTGTTATAATAAAGGATATTTAATAAAAAAAAAATTCATTATTATGTAACATGCTATCGCTATTACTAAAAATGGAAACAATAGTATCAAAATATTAAACAAATTTTTATTATAATAATCTAATACGAATAAGTTTAAAAAAGGTTCCCTTTAATTTAAGACAACTTTTAAAATTTATTATATTTACATTAATATAAAGAAAAATGAAAAGAATACAAAAAGTTAAAATTGGAGTTATATGCCAAAACGAAGAAGTTGGAATACTTTCTAATTAAATAAGAGGTTGAAGGGGAAGAAGACGTAGAAGAGGAAGTCGTAAAAAAGAAAGTGAGGAAGTGTTAAACCTACTGCAACTACAATTATTGATGTCTCAGATTCTATAATTAAGGAGAAAACAATATCAAAAAAGGTTATGAAATAAGAAAAGAAGGTGAAAAGACAAATATCAAAATTTCTGTTCCAATCGCAAATATTAATAATTCATATTCAAGCTATGAATTAATGATTTTTATAATTATATTTAAATTAAAGGTAATCAGAGACGAATAAAGAAACACAATTATGCTAAACTAATGATTCTCGATATTACAAATAGATCAAAAATTACAGATTAGTAAATTATTTCGTTTTGCATAATTAACATTCTATATTAAATAAAGAAATAACACTTTTAAACCTTAACAAATAGAAAATATATTTGATGAAAGAAAAACTCAAAAAAGAAATTATCAGCAGTATGAAAGTATAAATTATTCTGAAGAATTGCATCACATCGACAAAATAAGATTAAGGCTTTGCTTCAAGTAATTGATAGTGACGATAATAATTCATTATTTTTTCACTTTATTCAATATTCAAATTTCTAAACATTTAATTTATAAAATCATTAGATAACCGATATGACAATTATAAAAAACTAAAAAAAAAAAAATCGAAAAAAAGCAAAATAATACAAATTAATGAAAGTAATGAAGATAAAGAGATTGTTGAATATTCTTAAAAGAACAAGTAAATTTGTGGTAATTAGTATTAGATTTTCATTAATTGCTAATATTTTAATAATTTATATTAGAAAAACCTGAAGTTTAAAAGATATGAAAACCGTTTTCGAAGTTTGTCATTGGTTAATTTTAGAAAGACCATATAATGACAGCAAATCAAATACGCAATGCCATGAATATTTCATTGGATTCATCTGCTCATCTTTGGCATGTAGAGATTAAATGTCTTTTCCTTCGATGCAGATAACCTCCGGATGTATCCATTAAGGCTTATCACTAAAATATTTATTGTGATCTATACAGTAATGAAGCTGTAGAGAACATATGTCATTCTAAGCGAGTATTCTCAGACTTTCGCAGCAAGTTTAAAAAAAGAGGAGCTTCATTAGCACTTTAATTAATTAAGATATGAACAAACAACTGCTCCATCAAGAACTGATGTTGGAATTTATAGCTACAGATGTCTCTAAACAAACATTTAAGAGATATTTGAGCGGCACTAATAGGCATTCAAGATGCATTACAATAAATACGATATTCAAGCCGTCAATTGATTTCAAAGTTCCGAGTAGATCTGGCAAGAACATTGCATCAAGACTTATGCTTTAAAAAGTACCTTTATTATGTAGCGGTATATACTTATGTTTATTTTTTCTTTCGTATTTGCATTATTTTCAAATATAATGTAATAAATTTTATCAGCTTTATTGTAATAAATAAAAAAAATTCATATATAATATTATTTTGTTAATAGCATTTCATCGGCTTTATAGATTTTTTTTTATAAAAAGATAATATAGATTTTATGTAGAAAAAACAGAAGCCGCAATTTTATTAAAATACATAAGAAAATAATTACAATGACATTTTATTCTAAAATTAAATATTTTTAATATTAAATATCTTTATATAGCCGATTTAAATGGGTTAGTAACTTGACAGTTAACAAATAAAAACGCCATTAGCATTCAACAATATAGTCACTATAAAAATCGCTGTTTCAGTAAAGAATCTAGAAAATTATAAAATTTTTATATCATTTCTCAAATAGAAGTAGTTATTTACTATTTTTTATTAATTACATCATTTCTTTTATATGTTTTAAATTATATTCTATAACTAGTCTTATTTTTGTAATAGATAATTTTAGGTAATTTTAAATTACGATTTCTTTCATTCTAAAGTAACATGTTGATTAATTTATAAAACCGGTTGTTTATTTGTATCACTGCGCCTTCTTAATCGCATTTTAAAGCTTGTGTTCTGTTTATTGATGTATATTTTTAATTCATTTTTCCGCAGGTTTCTTTAACGAAGACTTTCAAGCCGAAGTTGTAAATCGAAATAATAAACTTTTATTTTAATATTGGATCTTGGTTTCATCAGAAAAAATATTAAATCCAATGTCCTCAAACATTTCTCCATAATTGGTCGAAAAATCTCTATAAATGTAAATGAACGATTTTGTCTTATCGAAGTTCAAAGTTGTGCTACCATTTCGTACAACGAAAATTAAAGTATTACGATGGCGGAAATCATTTTCTTTATCACTACACTATTATTGGTTGGGGTAAAAAGTCGGTCAATAGACCGATATCCCCAATGTTATTGTGAGATGCGGATATTGACCCATCGGTCTATCATATATATTGTGCAACGCAGTATAAATAAATTATATATCCCCGCAAAATTTTAAATTTAAATTTTTTTTTTTTTTGAATTAAAAGTAAAAATGCGTTTTAATGTATTTACTCACCATCGAAGGACAGAACCTCCATCTGTTATTCTATTAAGAATATTGATTATGACAATATTAATATTTTCCCTCGCAGGATATATTATTATTTTATTTATCGATGTGATTAATGATGAGCCAGTTGTATCGAATACAATAATTGAAGCAACGGAAATACCTATTCCTGGTATGTATATAGGAAAGAGCAAGAAAACTCATTGTAATAACTTTTTTATTTTATTATTATATAATTATTTTCTTTTAGATATGAAATTTGTATTCCCATATCCATTCGAATTGACGTGTTCTTTAATTAGTAAGCATTTAAAAATAACTAATTTATTGAATTTGAACAATTTAACAATAAATTCTGGTCATAATAGGAGGAATAAAAGAAGCATTAACAGATCAATGTGATGAATATTTAATACAACCAACATTTTCTTCAAATAGCAACTATTATGAAGGATATTTTATAAATGTCCAAAATTTGACATATGAAAAACCAGAACTTGATATACATTCAATAATTGCAGTTTTGGTAATTGCAATTACGAACGATACAAATTATAATGCCACCGAAATTAAACTTCCTGTATCATTTGTTGTTGCCGATTCTGGTAAATTAAATAAAAATTTTTTTTTTTTTTTATAAAAAATTTATTCCAATTAATATATTGTTCATATATCTTATTTAGAAACTAGTCCTTTTAGAAATGAAAGTTATAAATTACCTGTATATGTTAAAGATTTAGCCACAAGTAGTAATTATAAGATGCCTAATCATCAGGTAATTAATTTTTTAATTAAATCATTATTTTTTTAAAAAAAAAAAGATTAATAAAGAATTTAATTATAATCTTTAAGTTGGCAACTGTATCATTTACTAGAAGCATAAGAGATACCATTATTCCAAACTTCAAAGACGATTTTGGAATCAAACCAACTTATTATAGACAATATTATCTTATGTCCAGTATACGTATGTAAAATAATCTATTCTTTTTTGTTTATTATATAATGATGTAAAAAATTTTTTTTTTATTTTATCGTAATAGAAAGCGTTCCTATTGATTTTAATACCGGAGATTTATTTGAAAGTGGAGTCTTATTAGTAGTACAAAATCATCTTATTAAAAAAGAGACTGAACAAAGGTATATTAAAGAATAAATTAAAAATTAAACAAAATCTATTAACTTATTTATTAAAAATTAAATTGTTGTTCCAATATAGAACTCGAACTGTAAGTAATTTCTTTTCAAGTTAAATCAAAGATAAATTATAATTTAAAAATAATAAAATAAATAAATAAAATTCAATAAAAAAGTTTTTCAGATTTTTCGGTCTTGTGGGAGGTGCTTGGGGCCTAGCTGCAGTTTTTTACGCGGCTTTATTTGGTAATCATTTTTTCTCGTTTTTAAAAATAATAAATAAATAAGGCTCAAGTTCACTTCTAATATCTAACTTATGATTCCTTCAGGTGTAGACCTGATTCGTCCTTGGGGTTGTGTGCAATTTTATTGTTGTGGATTACGTAATAGTACATATAATAAACTTAAAAAAACACTTCCGATAATTCCGCTGATTAATAGCTCCGAAAGTCCTCCACCATCCTCTGGAGACGTTGCCTTACAGCAACGTGTTGAAGCTATAGAAGTTTTCTTAAGAGAGTACGTCGTTGACGTAAATTACTTGGAAAATGCAAAAGGACATGATGAAAATAACTTACTTCCTACTAACAACAATGATGGTAACACTAATGTTACGGCTATGGAGCATAAATAATATTTAGATCGTTACTTTTTCGGTAGCTTAAATATCGATTCTAAAATATGTTATATCAACATATAAAATATTTATTTTAACCAATCATGATTTGTCAATTTTCTTTTTTTTACAATTTCGTCCTTGTAATATTATCTTTTTTGAATTTAATAATTAAATGAAATTAAATATACATGCAATTTCTTAGGTAAAATTTTAATTATTTATATTATTTTATTTAAAACTTGAAAAAATTTTTTTTTTATTCAAAAAAAACTGTTAAACCAAAAATTTTAACTTTGAATTATTTTTAAGAAATTATGAAATTCTGATTAATATCTTTGATTACTTGGATATAAAAACACAAAACATTCCAAAGTAATGATCGGTCAATTTTATAGATAAGAATGCAAAAGAAATCTTTTAAAAGCGAGTAAATATGGTAACATATTTAGGAGATATGAAGTCAAATGAAGAAGATACATAGCAATTCCTATCGACTTTAACGACATTCACGAGTAGTCAAAGACTAAAATTATTGGTAGGTCCCCCAATGTGCTTCTGTTTGATTAGAAGATTACAAATAAATTTTAAAATACTAAAATCAAATGATTATACCTAATATGTTCACTTCTACATACATTAAGCCTCTTCTTTATCTAATAAATAAAGAATATTAACATTAAATAAGGGGTTCATCACTAAAACATTTGTTTGTTTTGTTTATTAGTTTGTCAATATGAGTTGTCATTTATTGTGATAAGGAAAAGGTACAAGTTCGCCTCTAAATATCCTTATCGATTTAAGATAAATTCTAGAAACAAGAAGCTGATAAAGAATTAGTTACAGTTATCTAAGCCTGGAAAACATTAGAACAGAATATTATTTGCGTTTAAGAGTAAATAATATCAAGTAGAAAAGATTATTTCGTGCTGTAGTCTATTTTCCAGTTATCAACAAGAGGTGAAAACTAAAACAATAATATGAGCTTACTAATAGATGAAGTAAGATGGTATTAATCACTTAAAGAAATAAAGCAGAATCAATTTATTTAAGGTGAGCTCAGTACTTTACAAGAATTTTTTTTTGTTAACAGAATAAGTAAAAGAAAAGAATGTCAAAATTTTGTGTTTGAAGTATAAGGTATGATGGTAAAGGTATGTTCACATACTTTTCCACTTCTTTGTTTATAAAGGAAAAAATAATAAAAAAATAAAAATAAACAAAAACCATGCATACAATTCTTTGCCATTAAAGCAATAAGAAAGCTAAGTTTAGTAAGTAAATTAGTGGTTTCTTTGCATTGATCGGTTTAATAGAATTAGGATATTTGATTGTGTGAGTTGTTTCTTTAAGGAGAAATATATATAAGGCGAAACATTTTCCTTTTTTTTATTATGTTTTATTATATGTAAGAAATCTGTTCTAGTAAATCAGTATTTTGTAATCGCATGCTTGCTTTCAATTGTATTTTAAAAAACATATATGTATACTTTATATAATAGTATAAATCAAAAAAGAACAATTTTTTTTACAATATAATTGAACTTTAATTTACCAGCGAAATGAAACATAATATTGGAAGATGTGTGATTCTCATAAGTTTTGTGGAAAATTAGGTAGAAATCATGAGTATTGAGAGGCACCAATGAATATTAACGTTCTAAGATGCGGTGTAAATAACTTCTCCCGTCTCACGTCAATGGGTTTTTTTCCTGCGTTTCCTTTCCCTGATGAAATTTTTTGGTAAAAAGATGAGATAAAAAATACTAATGATCTTGATTCAAAATAAATTGTAAACGATATGAAAATAAAAATTTTATTTTAATGAGTTTTACATTTATTACACATGATATTAATGTTATATGGTACACAAATGTAAGTAATATTAGTTATGAGAATTATACGCGTATCATTTTATCTTCTAGAGTGAGAATATGAAAACTTCTTAGTATTTGATTTATGATAAGTATTTATAAAGAATTTTTACATATAATAAAAAATTAGTTAGTAATTTAAACCTTTGCAATAATCATTGTAAAGTAGAATAACGATGAAAAAATTGTACAGGTTTCGTAATGATAAATCATACAGTTTTTATTTATTTTATATAGTTATTTCAATTTCCATACAAAAATAATTATACAGAAATTTTAACAGAGAAATCAGAAAAAAAATTTGAAATATGAAATATATAAAAATTGTGCTGAAATTGTATTGAAAAATTAAAACATATAGTTTAGTATTTTACGACGTATGTATGGAAAATTTAATATTACTAAAAGTGGGTAAATTAAATTAATTACTTTTTTTACAAAAATTTGCAATAATAACAAACTGAGCTTTAAAACCTTTCTTGGCGTTAAAAGTAAACTTGCAGAGCAGACAAAAATACTATCTATGGTAATAAATTTAATAATCATACAAAAACTTTATTGATTAGTACAGTCAATTTTCCTAATTCAGATATTGTAGGAAAAATGTGCTAAAAATTTGACTAGGATTATTACATGTCTCGGCACCCTGCACAGTCCAAAAATTGTAGCACAAAAGCTACACAAAAACTGTATGGGTTTTTTCATAGTGTTGTTACCACCTATTTTCGTAAGGGAGATAATTAAAATAAAAAGTAATATTTTTTGAAAATAATAATACAACTATTAATGCATCAACCGGCGCTCAGTATTAGACGTTTAAGAGAATATAACTATGTAATTTAATCAAATAACATTTTGTAGTATTAATTCTTTGATTATTAACTCAAAACTGGTTAATTATTAAAATATCTATTTTGTTCAATAAAATTTGTTATATTTTATATATCGATATGCACACGAATTTTGCCTTTAAAAGAAAATTAATGTACGAGAAAATTACATCTTGCAGAAAATATTTCCTTCTCGTATATTGAAAATTATGCATATTGTGTAATTATATATTAATTTGTTGTAGGAATTGGAATTGTTTCTACCAAAATCGAATGAATTAATTGAATATGAAAAATCGAATTTTAGGGGCGCAATTTTTGTGCCTAATTTCTTTTGTATTAACAAGTAAACTTTAAACATGATGAAACAAGTTTTATTAATATTTAAAGCTTAAAATTTTTAAACCGAATATTCGGTATCCTGGAGTGTATTTTTATTTATTTTTATTGAGTTTTATAATGCATAATTTTGTCTTTGCTTTGTCTTTTTGAGGTTACTTTTTGTAAAATTTTTTTTGGACCTTCACGAATATTTCGACTTTTTGGAAAAAAATGAATCCGAATGATGAGAAATTTATTATTGAGGCATCCCGGTGTTTATATTTATTGAGTTTTTTATGAATCACTTTTGTCTTTGTTCTAAGGTTTCTTTTGATGTGAGATTTCGGCTATTTTCTTTCCTCACGACTAGTCCAAACAATATTTTTTAGGAAAAATGTGTTTTTAATAATGATGAGAATTTCGATATCTTGGTGCGTATTTTTATTGAGATATTATTTGTTTTTGAAGTTTCTTTTTTTTTGATCATACTCATTGAAAACTTTTCTAATGCTATGAAAGCGTGGCCAATTTTATTACAATTATATAAATAAAAAAATGATGTGTTTGGATTAATTTAAATTAAAATTTGGTTTATTTAATTAATCATTTTTTTTTTTGCTTCAATGCAATTTTTATTTGTTTAAATAATTTTTCATCATAAAGATGTAAGAAAAATATAAAACCCATTTGCTTTAATTTTTGCTTTCGGTAAATTTCTTTCGTTCTTTTATTGATAAATATTGACTTTACATTTCGTTGTCTTCTTTTTTTCTCTTCTGATTATCTATATTGATTTGATTTTTAAATTTCAGTGTGTTATTTGATTTGATATTTTTTTTCATCTTTTTTGGTTAATGTGTATGTTGAGTCCTAATGATTTCATTTAATGAATTCATCTCATCCATTGTCGGATAGCAAAGCAAAATTCCGAGCAGAAGTTGAAAAAAGTGGACTTCAGTATACGTTCATTTTCACCGGGCTATTCTATGAATTTCATAGCTGGATAGGGTTTGACATTAAGAAGAAGAAGAAGGCCACGTTCTACATAGATCCCAACCTAACAATTTCTACAACTTTCTTTACATGGTATTGGTAAATATACTGTTGAATCACTTAATATTCCAGAGCTCGTATCAGAGTTACTGGCGCCACCTTGTCATTCAATGAGTTGCTTAAAAGGTTTGAAAAGGTATAAGGTGAGTGTCCAACATTTCATTCTAAAAAATTACATTTCAATAGGAGTTAATGATGACGCTTGTACAAAGGCTCCAAGTGGGAAGTTGTTGAAGATAGGGAAATACGAGAACGTTACTGAACTAAGTTCCCTTACCTTGCAGATAATGAGTTCACAAAATCCTTGAACTTTAAAATATCCTCTATATCCTCTGTTATAATTCGTGATTTTCTAAGGATTGAAACGTTACTATATCGGAACAATATTAGGAGACGTTCACAGTATACCAAAATTTTATTATCTACCAAAATATTGTACGAACACCACAAAATATAAACTACACTAAACGCTAGCAGGGGAGAGGGTGGTAAGAAAATAGTAAACGGGTATTTGCAAATTTGTAAAATTTTCAGGAAAGATAAAATTTGGGAGGTTGTTTGAAGAAATTAGTCTAGTAGTCTAATTTATAATGTAATAGTCAAATCACCATTGGATTCATTATATTCGTTATGCCATTGTTGTTTACCATTAATTACGAAAATTTAATGGCGCAGTAAATGAATGACATATCGTTCCAATTGGACTTTTGTTGTCAAATTCCAAAGAATCGACCATTTGATTTTCTACTCACAATCATCATAAAAACTTTTTTACAAATTCGAATGTTGTAAATACATAAAAGTGTAACGTCACATACTTATATTACAAGTTCCTTAAAGAATCAATAAAAGCGCCTTTACTTTAGATACTGGAAGATAAAGATAAATCGAAAGAGGTGCGTATTAATAACCGGTATATTTTTTTTTACTCTTCGTTAATTATTACTAATACTTTCTTTGTAAAGATCCCACTGATGTTAAACTTCTTTGGGCATTTAATGATAACTAACGAATTGGTATTGAATCAGTTGAGTTTATCCAAATATTTTTTTAACCAAAGGAATAATCGGACCTTTGCATTAGGAAGGGTGAAACATCTGGAACAAATTTTCAAAATAAAAAATGCCTTGATTTAGAACGGGCTCATTTTTTTATTTTTCTTGCATTGCTATTACAAAGTTAAATTTTGGAATTCCAAATCAGTAGTGATGGAGAAAATTGAAGTTTATTGATCATTCTGAATTTAAAGTATAATTTAATCAGGTAAGTACGACACGTAAAGTCGTCAATTAATTTATTGAGCAAATTATTGACAGTGAAAGCCAGCAAAAGGAAGAAAGAACTAGGTTTGAGAGTGTTATTAAAACTAATCTAATTAGAGAAAAAGGGGATAAATGAGAAAAAGATGAAGGCGTTACCTATTTTTATGATGAACTTCAAAATATTGCTGAACGATGTTGTGAATAAAGTGGATTAGCCGTATAATCACATTGAAAAGTCTCTTGATGATTAAAAAGGATGAAATCTATAACCTTTGATTGAGAATAAATGCTTAAGAAAAAAAAAAAGAAATGCATTCAATTTGTGAAATCATGCATTTGAATGTCAATATATTTCTGTCTGATACAAAATCAGATCGAATAATTAGAAGGAATAAAGTCAATCAATAGAAATTTTATTTTTTTTTTACAAAATAAATGATGGAAATTATTTAACTTTAGTTAACTTTTTTTTTTTAATATATATATAATTATATATTATTTTTTTTCGTATATCCAAATATTAAGAATAGTCAAGCAAAATACATTAAATCAAAACAATTAGAATCCAAATTCAATTAAATTAAACAAAACATATACTTTTTTTTATTAACACAATTTATATAATAAATTACTATATTTAAATAAGCCTCGCTTCTGATTTTTCTTTTTCTGCAATGAAAAATAAAGCATTATTTCATGTTCATAAGGACGAAGTATATTTGCTTTAAAAAAAAGTTTAAATGAGTATGATCAAAATAATTGAAACTTCAAAAACAAATAATAACTAAATAAAAATATATACCAAGTCATCGAAATTCTCATCATTATTAACGATACATTTTTCCTAAAAAATATTGATCGGACTAGTCGTGAGGAAGAAAAACTCATCTCACAACCCAGTCCGAACGAGAGTTTCGTAATAGAGATTTTTTCATGTTAGTATGTATGGTCTGAATAAAATTAACATCAAAAGAAACCAGAAAATAACAATGACAAAGTAAAAATACACACCGGGATACCGAGTGTATCCCAACAATAAATTTTTCTATTATTCGGGATGTATATTTTCTGAAGTCAGACTAGAAGTGAAAGGAGGATGGGTCAAGAAAAATAATTTACAAAAATGTATTAAAAAACGATAAAAATAAATAAATTCTCACCGGGATTCCATATTTGTCAACCGAAGAGATTTCATAAAAATCCACCAAATTTCAAAGTGTGCGTGAGTTCCAGTTAACTCAAAAGATGTGTAACCGAAACGGGATACTTTCGTATAATACAACACCCTTTGTCAAGGATGCGTGAGTTTCAGTAAAACAAAAATTGAGCAACACGAAACGGGATACTTTCGTATAATACAACACACTTTGAAAGTTAGTAATAAATATGTTTTTTAAAAAAAGAAATTGAAAACCAAGAACGACGAGTATCCATATTATATACAGAAGAGATTTCGTAAAATCCACCGAAGAGAACCTGAATATAGAAAGAAAAGATGCATAAACTTTGAGATGAACAACGAAACGGAATACTTTTGTATAATACCCTTTGTGGTCTAAAACAAAACATATTTCTTAAGTTTCGTTTTATAAGAGACGATCCAGCACTTTAAAATTTTAAAAAAAGAAAGTTTGTAAAGAAAAAAATTTATGAGGAGGGAAAGGAGTAAAGGAACAAAAAGATGGAAATTATCAAGTATTTATAATAAGATCAATGACGCGTATTGTGTTGACTAAATTATTGTGATGACGTAACGCGTAATTTTTGGTAATTTACCCATAGTTCTGATTGGCTGATATAATTAACTATGTTATTGTCACAATACTCCCCGATTAGCGCGTAACCACCAAAAAATGTGATCTGAAATTGACGATCATTTCCAAAATAGGTAATACATTTTTGACGAAAAAAAGATTAATGAATAAGATTTAGTAAAGGTATTATTATTATAATTTTATTATAACTTTATATTTTTAAAAATAAAAATTATATTATATATTAAAGTAAAATTAATATTTATAATTATTATTTTTTAAGTAAAAATTTAATTAAAGTTTAAATTACCATAAATGTATAATAATAGATAAAAATAATTTACGATCTTAATAGTATTTTTGATTTTTAAATTATTAATTATTTTTTTTAAATAAAAAATTTAGTTGAATTTAAAATTAATTATAGTAAAAAGTATAATTAAATAACTTACAATCTAAGAGATTAATTGTTTTTTAAATAAAAATTTAATTGATTTTAAATTATAAAAAGTATAATTAAATACTTATTATCAATAAAAATTATAATTAAGTACTAATTAAGAATAAAAATAACTTATACCTTTTAATAGTAATTTTATTTTTTAAATAAAAAATTTAGTTGATTTTAAATTACAGTAAGAAATAAAATTAAATACTAATTATCATTAAAAAACAACTTACTCTCTTTAATAATATTTTGTTTTTTAAATAAAAACTTTAGTATAATTTAAATTACAGTAAAATGTATAATTAAATACTAATAATCAATAAAAATAACTTATGATCTACTATATTATTAATTATTAATTAATTTTAAAATAAAAAATTTATAGAAATTAAATTATAGTAAAAAGTAAATTAAATCTGATAATCAATAATGATAACTAAGCTAAAATTTTAATTATAAAATATTTGGTTAAGTTGAATTTAAATTATAATAAAAAGTATAATTAAATATTAATAATCAATAAAAATAACTTACATCTATTATAATATTAATTATTAATTAATCTTTTAAATAAAATTTAGTTGAGTTTAAATTATAGTAAAAAGTATAATTAAATACTGCCAATTAATAAAAATAACTTACCATTTAAAATATTATTAATATTAATTATTTTTTAAATAAAAAATTTGAATTACAATAAAAATATAATTAAATACTGATAATCAATAAAATAACTTACCATCTATTATATAATTAATAATTAATTATTTTTTAAATAAAAATTTAGTTGAATTTAAATTTCATTACAATAAAAGTATAATTAATTAATTAAAATAAGGATAAGTCTAATTGTAACAACCTATTACATATAATATATGTAGCAATCTTAGAAAATAGGATTAGATTTAACCAAAATTATAGCATAATGCTAGCCAGTTATTTAATAAAATAACTTGTGATAAAATGGTTATTAGGATATAACATGTGTTATTTTTTTTTATAATGTATTTTTATAATATTAATGAATATTACTATAAAGATAATTTTTTTATTTAAAAAATTAAAAATATTTTTCATATAATTATTTATTAAAAGAATTATTATTCAACTACAGCTATGATATATAATTACCTAAAATATTATAAAATTGAATAAAGGAATACAATAAACAAATGAATAAAAAAAATGAATACTTACTGATTCTGACACCTTATACTAATTGATCGCATGAATTACAAGTGTATTTTGCATATAGTTTCTTTTTAGTTAATGATTTATATCACTTTATTTTGAAACATTCTTTGCATTATGATACTAATAGATTTTCAATTAGTTTATATTATACATGAAGTCAAAATGAAAACCTAATAGTCAAAATGAATAGTTGAAATAGTCAAAATGACATCATATCACATGAATTTTATATATAGAAAAAACAAAAAATTAAAGATGTACGTTCTCAATCAATATCGCTTCAATTCATATGAAACAACTACCATTCAATGCCTCGCGACTAGACAAATCCAATAGCTAACATTTATTGATTTTGGATTAGCTTTTTTTAAAGATGCAGTAATGCATTTATTTATTATAAAATATTCATAATCAATTAAAAAAAATATAAAAATCCTAAAGAAGAATACAAAAGTAGAAAAAATAAAAAATGCTGCCTAAAAATCATTATTAGTAAATTAATTCCAATCAGACTAATGGGTTATCCCATCTGGCTCTGATAACAATTACTAATAGAATTACTATCACCATCCAACTAAAAAAGAGGAAAACGTTTGACAAATAGTTATTATTACGTTAAAAAGCTAGACTATTTTTGGCCATATATGTATGATTTGATCATTAGAGATGTGTAATCATATTTTAACTCAGAACTGGAAGGAATGGTGTTAGCAAAGTTATTGATAGAGAAATTGTTTGATAAGCTGTAATTTTATTTTTTTCTGTATTTAAAAATATTGAGAGAATATTCTTTTTCTATAGTAGCATTGCATCTTGATTTCCATATAATTTCATAAGTTTGATCAAAAATGTAGTTGTAAAATAAGAAAAGAATTTTAGAGGTGATTGATGAAGAATGAGTAAAGGAGTCGAGTGATTTGGTAAGGGCAGTGAGAATAATGTCTTTAATGATATCTATGAAGGTAAAGTTGTGAGAGTCCTCTTTTATCATCCAAAAAGGATGAGAAGGAAGTAAAAAAATTATAATATCAGGGAAGTAAATTGATTTGGAAAAATGTATAAAAAGTTGTTGTTTTATGATCAGTAAAGAGGCAGTTATAATTAGCTTCATCTTATTTTTAATTTTAGGACAAATCCAAATGTGGTTAAAATTTTCTTTGTAAGTATTGTAATGATAATATTTCTATGATGAATCATAGATTGAGAATTGAGTCACTTTCATGAATTCAATGGTAAACATTTGTTCAAAGAGGAATTTAAGTCTTTTACAGTGTGCTCTAGATTCCTTAAAAAAAGTTTTAGTAGGGATACCAAGTTTAATAAGTTCAAAGTTAAAGACCAATTAATTTGGATTTAAGAATATTTGCTGTTTCTTTTAAGATAGTATAAATCAATAAATTGTTTGGTGTTAGTATAATCTTTAAAGAAGAGGCATAAAGAAGTTAGGATAGGCATATTATTAAAGATTAAGGTATATAAGAAAAAGGGGTTTAGGTAAAAGTGATTGGTAAAGGAGAGGAAAGTAAGAAAGCCTTAGCAAGTTGATCAACTTTGTAGTCATAAGGGTTATCAGAGTACGCTGCTACTTTTTTTATTATTAATGAGATGCTTCGTTCATCCAGTAATTTAAAAATAAATTATCAGTAAATATTAAATGGTAGTTTAAACATCAGTGAAGGATATCTGAAAGCATTTTGTTTGTAGATTTTATTAAATAAATATATCATTGTTAAACTATCTGTACAAACGTTAATCTCTAAATTAGAAAAGCAGATTAGTAAAACTAAAAGTAAAGCAAAAATTTCTGAATTAGTAAAATTAGCCTAAAAGATGAAATAGCAGTAAAAAAATCTATATTATTATTATTTGAACAAGTAAAAAAGCAGAACTCAAATGAGATGAAATAATGAATAAATTTGTGTGAACCATCTGTATAAAAAATGAATAACTTTTCATTTTTCAAATCAAATTTGAATTGATTGAGAAAGGTACAAATAGATGTAACAGAAATCAAAGATTTGATTGTGTAATAAGAAGAATGATTATTATCAATAACAAGAAAATGTGAAAGTGGCATTTGATAATGATTATTTTTAGTCATATTATCATTCAAAATAACATTATGGTATTTCAACCAAAGAATAATCTGAATTATAGATATCCAAAAAAGTTAGGTAAATCTATTTTCTTCATGAAACATAACAAACTATTCAGGATCATCTAACTAATGTTGAATAAGATTTTTTAATAAATAAAATGCATCATGCGTTACTTCTGCTTCAACCTTATATTTTTGTATTATATTAATAAGATTACAATTAAGAATAGATAGAGTAAGAAACTTTGCTTTTAATAACTTTAGTTGTGTAGTAATTGATAGATTTTCATTTTCTGTAATGAATTTGATTTTTTTGAGAACATCATAATCAAAAATACACTGATATTTTGTTAAATACTCTTTAGTATTAGGAAATAATTTATAGTTATACGAATTATTAAAAGTGATAAAAACTATATTTTGAGAATTTAAAGGTAATTAAAATTTGCATTTCATACATATTATTAACGTATTGATTTATGATCTCAATATTTATTAATATCAATTAGTTTTTGATTAATTATAATCACTAAATTCACATCAAAATCTACAATGTTTAATACCACTATTTTCATGATGAATTAATCATTTCTTTATAATTGCAAATCTATATTTTTTATCATAAGTTTCCATAATATTATTGATACTTTATATGATTTAAAGACACAATTAACACAAAAGTTTATAACTGAATTAAGGGTAAAGTGATATGTCTGTAGTTTAATTGACTCTAATAAATAGATGCAAATAAAGAAACTAATAATCTTACCTACATTTTCTGGATTTAGAGTTTCATCTTCTAGATTTAAGAATATTATATTTGGATTAAGAAATATTCTAACTTTTGGATTTAGAGGTGTTATATTATTTAACTCAACTTATTCTATATTAGAAATTAATTAAACAGATATATTAGAAGAATCAATATTTTATTTTTACTTTTTATATGGATAGAGTATTTACATACCATAATCACAAAGTATTATGAAAGAAGTATCATTTTGAATAGATTTTTGAATTTACAATTCAGTTATAGTTTTTATGAGATAAATATGATCATAATGAAAAAAAAGTGAAGCAAAAAAGTTTTTTATATTTGGGATTTGATATAAAAGAATAATAGCAATATAGTAAAAGTAAAGTAAAAAAAGTTTTCTTTTTGAAATTTGATAACTGCTATGCAAAAAATGATTGTAATACAAAAAAACTGAAGCAGAAAGTTTTATATTTAAAATTTGATAACTGCTACATAAAAGAATAACCGCAATGCAAAAAAAGTGAAGTGAGAAAGTTTTCTATTAGAGGATTGACTACTACGATTACAATGCAAAAAGAAGCTAAGTCACATATTGAAATGCAAAAAAAAGTAAAGCAAATTATTATAATTTTGCTTATTTGTTTTAATTTTTTTTTTTAGCTGTTTTTATTATCAAACTTTAGGGTAAGTACCTTTGTAATACAATATGAACTTAAGAAAAAACTTTTTATTTTATCAAAAGAATACAGATTATTATATTATATAAGCATTAATAATGTGATGCAGTTTTTGTATAATAGATAATATCATACAAAAAATGCATGACATTATATGCATCACATTATAGTTACTATTATACATGAAGTTGAAATAGATCATTTCGGATATCCAAAATGGTCGAAATGGTTGAAATTATTTCAACTATTGGAGGCTAAAGTTACGAAATAGTCGAAATAACATCATATCACATGATTTTTCATATTTAGAAAAAACAAAAAGCAAAAGATGTATAATCTCAGTCAATATTGCTCTGATTCATATGAAACAACTACCATTCGATTCCTCAAAACTAGGTGGATCCAATGAGCTAACATTCATTAATTTGGATTATTCAATCACGAGATACTCGCAATTGTATTATCAGCCAAAATTATAAATCAATAAATTCTACTTTAAATAAAGGAGTCTGGATTTTGAAATACGATTGCAAATATCTTGAGATAGGATGATCAGAAATCAATGAATGTTAGCTCATTAGATTCATCTAGCCACAAGAAATCGAATGGTAGTTATTTCATACGTACGAATCAGTGTGATATTGATCGAGATTGTACATCTTTTGTTTTTTCTATATATAAAAAATCATGTGATATGATGTAATTTCGATCATTTCGACTTTTAATTTTAACTTTGACCTCCAAAGTCGAAATATTTTGACTTTTGGGTTTTCATTTCGACTTTATGTATAGTTACCATAATCCTTATTTTATAAATGTATAGCATTTTTGAATTTAAAAGCTTTAATGTAGCTTGTATCTTCTTGATCATTTCTGCCACTCATTATTAAAGGATTTGTTTTACAAATTAATTTTTAATTACTGAGAATCCCTTTTCACTTTGAGCGATAATTTGTCTTATAATTTCTTTATAATGTTATTGTTATTTAAATATTCTTTTGATTATTCCATCTAATATTATATTTCTTCTGAGTTATCATTCTATAAATATCTTCTAACCATTTCATATATAAGTTACATCTAGTTATTTCTTTTAAATATTACTTCTGATTATTACTTCTGAATATTACTTTTGATTATTACTTCTGTTTATTACTTTCGAATGTTACTTCCATTTATTACTTCTAAATATTACTTATGTTTTATTACTTCTTGTATTTTAGAGTTAATTAAATCTTTATCATATTTTCTCTATTCTTTTTGAGTTTTATTTCTGCATTATTTTATTAATGTATTTCTAAATTAAAGTTTATATACAAGCGAAATAACTTTATTTATTTCCATAATTTAATTGTTCAACAATTAATTATTTCAAACAAAAGTATTTATTTTTTATTTGTGTTAAAAGTTTATTATTAAATTTTTTTTTTTATTATTTTTAAAATTGAACATGAGATCCTTAAAGGTATTCTAAAGGTATTTATATAATAAATTTACATAGAAATCATTATTTACTTTAGTTCTGATATTTTACTTCCTACTTCTGAACTTTACTTTGTTTTACTACTTCATACTGTTTTACTACTACTTGTCTTAAGGTTTTATTAATGCTGATTTCTGTTTCTATTATTACAAATTACTTTTGAGTTCTGTACTTCTAATAACTTTTGTTCTACTACCAATTTCTATTCTTCTTATGATGTTATATGTAACCATTATATTATACAAGCTTTTATATGGTCTAGTTCATCATTCCCAATCATTGTATTCTTTATGTAACCTTTTTATATATTCATATTACTTCTTCAATTTTTATTTTTAAATATTTTCTAAGTCTTTCTATAAGATCCTCCGTTCAGTTATTTAATTATCTGTTTCTTTAACCTTTAGTTCAGTTCTTTAATTACCTATCTTCTTTCAGTAACTAATTTATCTGAATTATTTTTTTTCAAATTTATTAAGTTTGTTTAATCTTCCTTTAGTCCATAATTTATTCGTAAATTCTTCTTTCTTTTAATAAAGTATTATTCTTTATATTATTCTGTAATTTTACTTATAATCTATTGTGTAATTTTATTGATTATTATTATACTTATTACTGCGTCTTAAATTATGAAATTGTTGACTCTATAATGTGATTTTTGAAGTTGTTACAAATAAAAATATATAACAGTTGTTACAAATAGACTTATTTATATTTTTTAGAGTGTAAGTTATTTTATTAATTGTTAATATATTTTACTATAATTTTATTCTACTAAATTTTTTATTAAAAAAAATAAGTTAAATTTGCCTTGTAAGTTATTTTATTAATTAGCAGTATTTAATTATTCTTTTTATTATAATTTAAATTCAGCTAAATTTATAATTTAAAAAATTAATTAATAATTAATATTATAATAGATTTTAAGTTAATTTTATTGATTATTAATATTTAATTATACTTTTTATTATAATTTAAATTTAACTCAATTTATTAAAAAATATTAAATAATTTAGAATATAAGTTACTTTATTTATTATTAGTATTAATTATATTTTTACTATAATTTAAAATCAATTAAATTTTTTATTTAAAAAACAATTAATCTTTTAGATTGTAAGTTATTTAATTATACTTTACTATAATTTAATTTTAAACTTAATTAAATTTTTTATTTAAAAAAATAATTAATAATTAATAATATAATATTAATACCTTTACTAAATCTCAAAAAATGCATTACAAACAAATGATCGTTAATTCTCAGACGCGCTAATCGGGAAGTATTGTGACAATAACATAGCTAATTATATCAGCCAATCAGAACTATGGGGTAAATTACCAAAAATTACGCGTTACGTCATCACAATAATTTAGTGCACAGCTCAAATGTGTGTCAGGTTATGCCGATTATATGGCTTAAAGTATGTGGCGCATTTTTCAAAAAAAAAGCGTCTAAGTCAAATTTTACTGCAAAAACCCAACCCGCCGCCTTAAGTAAACTTGCAGTACGAGCAAAAATACACCTACATTTATAATATTTAAGTCTAAATATAATGTTTATTAAGGTTTGGTTTCGAAAAGAAAAAAAATTCGTAGAAATTTGTCTGTGGCGCAAGTATGTCGATCATTTCCAAAAAAGTAATTTTTTCGGCATAACCTGACACACATTTGAGATATGCTAATAACGCGTCATTGATCTTATTATAAATACTTGGATAATTTCCATCTTTTTGTTCCTCTACTCCCTTTACCCCTTTCCCTCTCTTATAAATTTTTTTCTTTACAAACTTTCTTTTTTTAAAATTTTAAAGTCTCCTATAAAACGAAACTTAAGAAATATGTTTTTTTTTTAGACCACAAAGGGTATTATACAAAAGTATTCCGTTTCGTTGTTCATCTTTTGAAATTTCAAAGTTTATGCATCTTTTCTTTCTATATTCAGGTTCTCTTCGGTGGATTTTACGAAATCTCTTCAGTTGATAATATGGATACTCGTCGTTCTTGGTTTTCAATTTCTTTTTTAAAAAACATATTTATTACTAACTTTTCAAAGTGTGTTGTATTATACGAAAGTATCCCGTTTCGTGTTGCTCAATTTTTGTTTTACTGAAACTCACGCACCCTTGACAAAGGGTGTTGTATTATACGAAAGTATCCCGTTTCGGTTACACATCTTTTGAGTTAACTGGAACTCACGCACACTTTGAAATTTCAAGTTTATGCATCTTTTCTTTCTATATTCAGTTCTCTTTGGTGGATTTTGATGAAATCTCTTCGGTTGACAAATATGGAATCCCGGTGTGAATTTATTTATTTTTATTGTTTTTTAATACATAACTTTGTTTTTGCTTTGTCTTTTTGAGGCTTATCTTATTTTTGTAAATTATTTTTCTTCCGACCCACCCTCCTCTCACTTCTAGTCTGACTTTAGAAAATATGCATCCCGAATAATAGAAGAATTTATTGTCGGGATACACTCGGTATCCCGGTGTGTATTTTTACTTTGTCATTGTTATTTTCTGGTTTCTTTTGATGTTAATTTTTTATGAAAAAATCTCTATTACGAAACTCTCGTTCGGACTGGGTTGTGAGATGAGTTTTTCTTCCTCACGATCAATATTTTTTAGGAAAAATGTATCGTTAATAATGATGAGAATTTCGATAACTTGGTATATATTTTTATTTAGCTATTATTTGTTTTTGATGTTTCATTTATTTTGATCATATTCATTTAAACTTTTTTAAAGCAAATTAAATTCGTCCTTATGAACATGAAAGACTGCAGAAGCGAGGCTTATTTAAATACAGTAATATATTATATAAATTGTGTTAATAAAAAAAGTATATGTTTTATTGAATGTGGATTTATTATTGTTTTGATTTAATCTTTGGATATACAATATATATATATATATATATATTATAATTATATATTAATTAAAAAAAAATTAACTAAAGGATTAAATAATTTCCATCATTTATTTTGTAAAAAAATGTATATCGGTTTCTTTTTTCCTTCTAATTATTCGATTTGATTTTTATATCATCAGATCGAAATAACCTTTATTGATATTTCAAACGATTCGATTGTCTAAGAAGTAGTGCTATTTAATCTCATGATTTCACAAATTGAATGCATTTCTTTTTTTTTTTAAGCATTTTTTCTCAAATAGATTTCATCCTTTTTAATCATCAAGAGACTTTTCAATGTGACTATTCGGCAAATCCGCTTTATTCACAACATCGAACTCTCCTCTATCTATTTCAGCAATATTTTTAAGTACATCATAAAAATAGGTAACGCCTTCATCTTTTTATCTTTTATCCCTTTTTTCTCTAATTAGATTGGTTTTAATAACACTTTCAAATCTAGTTCTTTCTTCCTTTTGCTGGCTTTCGCTGTCAATAATTCTTTAATACAGCTGGCTTCTAATCTAATTGTTGGATTTGGGCGGCGGCTAAATCAGTTTGAGAGATTTGTTTTGAGTGTTTGAGTTTGTTGACTGATTTGGGTTTTGGCTTGCTCTAATTGTTGGTTTTTTGTTAGCGGGCTTGCTCAATAAATTAATTGACGACTTTGTGTCGTACTTATTTGATCCGAAAAGTAATGAAAAATATACCGATTTATCTTTATCTTCCATATCTAAAGTAAAGGCGTTTTTAATGACGAGATCACATAACATCAGAAGTTTGTCGATTTTTTTAAGGGAATGACGTTGCACTTATATGGTGGAAATTCCACAAAATTTATTTACATCATCCAAATTTGTAAAAAAAGTTATTATTAGTAGATTTAGCGTGACGTTTACAAATCCTTACCATGTTTTATTTCGATTATTTCATTTCATAAAAGCATTGCGGAGACTGGAAAATTGGAATTGAACGACAAAAGTCCAATGTATTGAAACGGAACGGAAGATTGGAATGATATGCCGTTCATTTACTATGCCATTCAATTTTCGTAATCAATGGTTCAAACAACCTCCCAAATTTACTCTTTCCTGAAAATTTACAAATTTGCACATACCCATTTACGATTTTTCTTACCACCCTCTCCCCTGCTAGCGTGTAGTGTCGTGGTATTCGTGATTTGATGTTATAAACGCATCAAAAATATTTTTGTAGAAATTCGTAATCAATAATAAAATTTTGGTCATATGCTTGACCAACATTTCTGTTTACAGCTGTATGCTCTAATATTGTTCCGATATAGTAACGTTTCAATCTTTAGAAAATCACGAATTATAACAGAAGATATTTTAAATTTCAAAGATTTTGTGAGGGAACTTAGTTCAGTAGCGTTTTCGTATTTCCCTATCTTCAACTACTTCCCACTTGGAAGTGTCATCATTAACTCCTATTGAAATGTAATTTTTTAGAATGAAATGTTGGACATTTACCAAAAGCTTTTTCAAACTTTTTAAGCAACTCATTGAATGACAAGGTGGCGCCAGCAACATTGATACGAGCGTTTCGAGCCTCTGGAATATTAAGTGATTCAACAGTATATTTACCAATACCACGTAAAGAAAGTTGTAGAAATTGTTAAGTTGGGATCTGTGTCGAACGTGGATTTCTTAGGACAAATCGATTTTTAAACAAATTGTCATCGAATTGCATAAGCAATTGTCATTTCTAGAATATCAAGAGTTAAGTTAATTTTAAACAAAAGATTTTATATTTTCAACTCGACATGTGTTGACTCACTAGTAACCATTGTTGAAGCCCACAGAAATCATATCGCTGACGTCTTTTTGAATGATTGACCTTACAACGTTCTAGTCAGTACTGTAAAAGCTAGTGATTATATTAGCTTTTACGAAGTTCAGTTATCACTGTTGACTACAAAAGAAGATGGTATAAGAGATTCATCTCATCTGAGTTTAGTAACGAGTTATTTGATTTGAATTATTTTCATATTTTTTTTTTTTTGGTTAATGAATTATGTCGAGTACTAATGATTTTATTTAATGAGGGGATTTATCGGATGGCAAAGTAAGATTCTAAGCGGAAGTTGAAAAAAGTAGACTTGAGTATACGATCATTTTCATTGGAGTATCTATGAATTTCTTGGTTGGATAGGATTTAACGTGAAAAAGAATTGCTTTCTTTCGAATGGATCCATTAAAAATCCAAAAAATTAATTAATAATCCTTGAGAATTTTAATGTTTCTTTTGACAATTTTTTTTTTGTTTCAATTTTACATGAAATAAAATCTTCGCATACAAGGATTACATTCAATTACGCTAGCAATATTTTTCAACCTTTTTTTGAAATTTTTGATGATTTTTATGGGGATAAATGATGAGCGATGAAACGAAAATTGGGTCAATTTAAAATTAACAATAACGCATTTAATTAAGAAGGATGAAAAAGGAGTATGTTTATTAATAAAATAAAACAAAATTCAATAAAAAATCAATTATTGCTGCCTCAACCGGAGCTCTGTAATAGGCCTTTAACTATCTATCGAAAACTATAAGCAAAATGAAGCATTTTTTAATAAATTTCTTTCCCTTAAAAATATCATCTAATTGCGGCTGGATGATGGATAAACCATTTAATTAATCCCTTATAACAAAACTGACTAAATTGACATAATTTCCATCAGTTAATTGGGTTATAATGTTCAGCAAAGTCCCTTTCGACATATCCATATCGATCGCACGAACTATCTTAGATGAAGTCAAAAGTCGAGGTTATCCGAAACGGGAATGGTATAATCAAAATTATTTAATATTTGAGAATATGGGAAGATTTCTATGAAATTATTTTTTATTAAAATTGTGATGTTTATTGCAATTTAGTTTGTGATATTAAAGTTATAATTTGTCAAATTTATTAATTAAAATAAAATAATAATAATAATAAAATAAGACAACGAATTAAAATTCAGGGGATATTTCTTTTTTATACAACACAATAAACCCAAATTACGAAAAAAATCTTAAAAGTAAAAGAATTAGACAAAGAAATATTGCTTTTCTGAGGCTTGAGGAATAATGCAACGACCACTCTCCATTGCCACCTCAAACTATAAAAAAAAAACTAAATTAAAAAGTAAAACAAATTAAAGGCACATCTCATACTCACAGAAGAAGTCTAACTTTGGGAAAATTCCAAATGGAAACGACTTGTCTTTTTTACATTATTTATATTCAGCGTCATTATATTTAGCTTGATGTGGCTTTGTAAAATTAATTTATTAGAATTTTGTGTCACGCAAATTTATATATAATAAATTTGGTTCTTTATAATTTTGTGATCTTATGTCAGTTTACCCTTGTTTTAGATAAAAATCATTAAAATTCGATAACAAAATCAAATATTTTCTTTATATTACTACATCAAATAAAAATGGCTCGATATCAACGAAGCAGATTTTTTGCTCGTAGACAAGGCCGCATTACTCGTCAAACCAGTGTTGGCAAATGACCTTGAAATGACCTTGAGATGACCTCAAATGACCTCAAATGACCTCACTTTTATTATAAATTTCAAGTCAAAATGACCAAGGTCATTTGAAAAAAAGTAAATGACCTTGAAATTTGCCATCACTGCGTCAAACCACTATAAATTTAGAAAATTTAGAAGAATGTGTTAATGCCCTTGATCTTGAAAACCACCAACTAGAAATGCAAAACATCCAAATCGAAGAACGAATCAGAACAACCTCACGAGAAATTCATCAATTAAGAAGAGAGCTAGAATTACAAAGAGAAGTTACCATGTCTTGGAGGAGAAGATTTAATCGAGCAAGAAGAGATGCAATTAATTTGAGAAGGGAGAATAATCAAATACAAGGAGATTTGGATGAAGAAAATAGAATATGTTGGAATTTGCGCGAAGAGGTTTCAAGACTACAGCGAGATATTGATAGGCTAGAAGGACATTATGTTAATTTTAATAGGGGAGGTTGGACAAGTGAATAATGGAGTTTACAAAGATGGAAAATTTTGGTAAGAATTTATTTAACGATTTTAATATGTGATTTTACTGGCAACCCCCATATTTACATTAATTCGTTGAATAAGAATGAAAAGTAACATAATTATCGCTTAATTATTAATACTTCACATATTTTAAAAGTTTTCCAGGAGGCAATCGAGCATATCATTGGATCAGAGGTTAGGTTCGATTCCTAAGATGTTTGTCGATATGGCCTGATCATTACCCCCGCTAATTCACCGTCTAGGCAAATCTTGTGGTAATAATCCCATGAACCCTGCGGCATTAAATAATTTTTATCAATCCATCGATGGCGTCAATTAGCACAGCAGCCAAGATCGAACCAACGATCCTTTTAATGTTATAATGCAAACATTTTTAGCGCTAATAAATAAACAAAGTTTGGAGGTATTATATTTGTTCGCTTTTAATACCAAAGAGCAAAACGTATCTATCTCATAATAAAATAATAATTAGAATGAAAGTTTCTCATGCAAAAATGTTGCTATTTTCATCTAGTGTGGTTTTGGCTCTTAATCCGCATAGCGCGGATCGATTATCATAAAGGTCATTTCGTTGTTGTTCATTTTGGATGACAGAAAGAGAAGAGATAAGAAAAAGGAAGCTTTTTTTAGATCCCTCCATTTGGGTTGGGAATATCTTTAACTTTATATCGGCGTAGCCAATATTATTAATTGATAATAAAAATATTAATATCAAAAACAATAAAATTATTATTTCCTTTTAGATAAATTTAAAAATTTTCATATTAAATATAATACTACGCACGGTGACATCGAATAACGAAAATAATTCGAAAATGAATATAATATAATCGCATGATATTTGCTTAAAAAATTTCTGTAATGCTTTTAAGCATCCATATTTATTATTCAATAATTTACAAACAGAACCCGATAAAAATAATTTAAAAATAAAAATAAATTTAATATTATATAAAATACAACCAATTTCTCTTTGTTAAATTTCAACTTTAGAAACAATCAATTCGAGATGTGGGTCAGGTTTACTGAAAAACCCAGCTTTTTTCTTGATGTGTAAACCTTCAACTGGTTGAAAAACAAAATTTCTAACGAGAATACTTAATAATATCTTAATTTCGTTTAATGCTAATTTATTACCTATACAAGATCTAGCACCAGTTAGGAAAGGAATGAAATTATAATTGGTTATGTTTTTGGTTAAAGAAGGATCCGACCATCTTTTTGGATCAAAAATTTCAGCCGTTGGACCCCAAATCGAAGGGAGTTTATTAATTGTCGAAATTGGAATATCAATTATAGTATTCTAGAAAACAAAAGTGTGTTAGTGATTTTGAATAATAAAATATACATCTTTTTGTTCTTTAAAATTAAAAAAGTAAATAAAAATGTAAAACACACCTTTGGAATAAATTGTCCACAAAGAATTTTATCTTTAGTATTATATCGTTGAACTTTTACAACTAAGATATAAAAAAAAAAAAAAAGTCAAAATGATTTTTCTTTTAAAATTTATAACAAAAGTTGATTAATTAATAAATTAAGTTTATACCTGGAGAAATTAATCTTAAGGTTTCTTTAACGATATTATTTAAGTATTCCAAAGAATTGATTTCCTCAAAAGTGGGATTAAATTTTGACTTGTCAGGAAAAGCTTTAACCAATTCTTCACGTAACAAATCTTGTTCAAGTGGGTTTTGTGCGAGTAGGAGCAATGCCCAACTCGTTGTAGTACTTGAGGTTTCGTGTCCCGCTAACAAAAACGTCATAATCTAAATCCAAAAAAAAAAAAAAATTAAAAATTAATGAAATTAAGATAACGATTTTTTCTCAAAATGATTGGTTAGTTCTAACCACCTGATATTTCAATTCATCGTCAGACATTTTCTCTTCGATAGGTAAGGCCTTGTTAAATTTGATTAGTAAAGATAATAAATCATTGCCATTCAATTTGTTATCTTTGTCGTCACGATACTTTTCTTCTACCAACTTTCTTGATTCACGTTCAATAACTTTACACACACATTATTAAACTTATTGTTTATGCTTATTGGAATTTTTCTAACAAATGGAATGTAATAAGATAAAAGAGTAATAATGAAGGGTAATATAGATAATTTGACATTTACGAGAGAATCATAAGCATCTGCCAATTCACTCGGAGACGTTAATGAATTAAATTCATGATTAAAACCTAAAAAAAAGATTCATTTCGATGTCAAATGAATTTATCAAGGTTCATAAAACATGATTATCATTTCTCTTACCAACTAATCCAATGATATCAAGTGTGGTCTTTGAGATTAATGGAGTAAGATTAATCTTCGAATTTCCCTTATTTACTTCGTCTTCTATCAATCCTTTCATTTTCGAACCTATATGAATAAATGTTGTAATCATATTCTAAATGGTGCAAAAGAAAATATACATAAATATATATATTTTTGTTTCGTAAAAAATTATGAAAAAATATGTTGATTAAAATAAAAAAGAGATTTTATACTTTAATGTTTGTATGAGTGAAAGCAGGATTCATGATTTTTCTTTGTCTCTTGTGAGCGTCTCCTTCTACAAGAACAAGACCTTGACCTAAGAAAGCCTTTAGATCAGCCAAATTCTGATACGGTTTAATGAATTCATAAGATTGAATTGAAAATATTTCTTGAATCATTTTTTGATCCGTAACTATAAGGATTGGCTTATTTAATATTCCATGATATTTTGCAAAGTTTCCATATTGTTTCACCCATCTAAGATATGGTTCACCGGACTATATCAAAAAAAAAAAAGAAAATGTTTAAACGATTTAAAAGGTTATACAGTAATTGGAAAATGATATTTAAAATATATTAACCTCTTCTACTAAAAATCTGTTAAAGTTCCCATAAAGAAGGTTTTCAGAAGGTGGCCCGGGAAGGTTTCTCAAAGAAGAAATATAATAGGGCCAAATGTATACTTTATAAATCAACCATCCTATAACAATGATTCCAAATAAAACAAAACTATGAAAGAAATTCAAATCAATCATTTTTTTTTTATTTTTATCCTAAATACGAATTTGGTCAATTTAATTTTCGTGAGATTTATTTTTTGCAAAATGTTCCGATTTAAAAGAAAATATTTTGTAGCATTGAATCGGTAGATTAGATTTGCCGTTATCACCGTTATTGGTCGCGTTAAAGAAAATAAATTTAAGTGATTGACCATCAATAACCATTAAAAAATGAAGCTTACCCGGATGAACTGTTTATTACGAGGCGAGGACCTGATCCTCCTTGTCCCGTTCAAAATGTTCAGAAAAACTTTTTTATTTTTACGTAATGAACCATCACGTGAAAGGTATACCATACCATGGTTCCAAATTATGATCGTACCGTACCGACTGGTTCTAAAATATTATTGATACCAGTACGGTACGACCATAATTTGGATAAAGTACCGTGCCTATAATAGAAAGCATTTATATATGGGACCAGTACGGTACGGTTCGGTACTTTTAATTGTACCGTCCGGTTTTCTATAGAAGGTAAATTCAAAAGATCGAAAGCTCTTAAATAATTCTATCTATTAATTAATGTGGAATTTTCCGCGGCCAAATTTGATATTCAAAAGAAAATTTTTTAAGTTGCGTCATCATAAGTCTCGTGACGGTAGGATTTCGATTCTTATCGATTCTTATCGAATATTTTTATAATATTTTTTTTTCGGAACTAGTGAATGGAACTGTTAAAAAACGTAGAATCGATTAATCGCGATATATTAATTTCTTTTTTAAAAAAAAAAATAATAAATTTTACTTTCGAGCGATCATTTTTTTTTCTCAAGTAAGCAGTTACGAATTTTTTTTATTCGATTTTCGACCAATCCCTACGCGACGGTCCATTACGTAAAACTTTTATAATCAAGTGAACAACAAATCAAGGTAAAGAGAAAGTGATCTTCAAAATACTTTATTATATTATATTATGCATATAAGTAAGGGTAAATTTTGATACGTTTTCACCAGACGATTTTTCCAATTCAATAACGATCATATAAAAAAGGAACTGCAAATAACAATTACATTTTGTAAAAATCTGCAAAATGAATATAAACGAAAATCAAATAAATTCAACAAGGTAATAATAAGAAAATTACCAAAAACGATGAAATCAAACACAGGGACTGAATTGTTTACAGCAATTACAAAAAATTAAGTGTACATTTGATACATCATTTAAGTGGGCTCATTTGTCAAGTTGACAATGATCGAATATAATTAATGTCTATAATTTTAATCAATAAATTTATTTCCCTTTTCGCAAAAAAAGCAAAACATTTTAACCAAGCAAATTTTCAAATTGAAAAAAAATTTTTTTTTCTAAAAATAAGGAAAAAATAAAATAAAATAAAATAAAACGCTAATAATTTAAAATAACTACATCTTTGATACCCGTTTTTTCCAATCTAATCTATGTTATAAGTAAATTTTGGATCCGAATTTGGTGTACTTGCCATTACAATATACCTAGATTATGTAGATTATTTTATAAAAAAAAATCAATCATTTAAAATGAGAAAATAATTATAATTATTATTATCACAAATGCTTACCCTTTATTATTAATGACCCCCCTACATTTAATCATCACGGAATATTTAAGTACCCAACGAGGTGATAAATCTTTGTTTAACCTAACTTTATTTGTATTAGCCTCTTCAAGAATTTTTTGAAAAGTAGTGGAAGGTAATATATCTAAAATTTTTAATTATTTAATTTTAAAAAATTTAGATTGGTTCAAAAAAAAAAAAAAAAAGAATGTCATGTATTCGAGACATAATATTACCGGTTGAATCATTATGTGATAATAATTCTATATTATTCTTTTTGGCGAATTCGATAATCTCTTTTGCTATTGAACAACAGTCGAAATTAATTTGATCTACCTTTGGAGGAACCTATCAAGAAGGGATAAACCATTTTAATTCAATAAATTCTTTCATCTTTTGAAAGTCATAAACAACTTACCTCAACGGCTTGTATAAAATTTTCCAATTGATTTTTGGTGAATTCGCTAACGCCTAATTTATAAATCATATCCTTTTTGTGAAAAGTTTCCAATTCTTTCCAAACTTCAAGTAAACTGTCAATATCATTTTTGGAGTGATTATTCAAGTCATTTTCTTTGCTGTTATTCATATTAGGACGAGGAGAAGGTTTATTGAATTTGTTTGATATTTCATTAGTTTCATCAAACATTAATCCATTAAAATAGATGATAAATGTGTCTATGGTATTGATTCCAAGTAATTTAAATAAATGGTATACTGATTGTGACACGAATTGTGGTGGTGGAGTCAATGGTTCAATCATTGAGGTTGATGATGATGGTAAATAAAATAATTTTGCTATTTGTAAAAGGTCAAAGATCAGACTTTTTCTTTCTTTTTCTTTATTAATAAAAAGATGGAAATTTTTTTTCACCCACCCGTAACCTCATAATCTCCACGATCTTCTGTTAATTTCTGATTTAAGTTAAATGAATCGGGTATTTCCAACACTTTATTTACTTTATCAAATGTCCATGAGGGTCGTTTATAAAGTACTTTTAAAGTATCCTCAAGGGAAGTAATCAACTGTAAATAATTTTTTTTTTAAAAATTCAAATCAAAAATTTATATCGATAATTTATTTAAATTTTCATTTTCCTTTCAAATAAAATACTTGCTTCTTGATTATTCTTATTGCTTATCCTCTTAAAAGATTTAATATTCGTTGCCCTCATCAAATTTTCAGAGTATATAATCACTTGATTAATGGTAGTAGTATCAAACATTTTCATCGTTTTATCCCGTTTTGATTCTTTATTATTTAAAATTCAAAGTTCAAAGTTGGCTATTTTTCTCGTCAATTTATGATACTCGATTAATAAGCTCGATTTTCACAAAAAAAAGTAAACTAGGTTAATTAGAGAAAATGATTCCGAATTTAATTAGTCATTAAATAGAATTTTTTGGTACGTTGCACTGACATTATTCATTGCATAAATTCTATGTAATCGAATACCTGTTTGACCTGTCGATTGCCTTCTAAGGATAATCTATTCGGAGATAGGATAAAAAGTTTAGTAATGAAGTATTTAGAATAATTTGAAAAAATTTCGTTTTCTCTCGGCATATTTGATTCCGTAGTCCTATCGCTATAGTCTAATCATAATTCATCTATTTTATACTAGTCTTTTAACGAGTGAGATCCCCTTTTTTTCCTGATTTTTGTTGTGACGTGCATGATTTTTATGAATATCAAATCAATACAATTTATAATATTTTTTATTATTGTTATACATTCATAAGATTCTACAGATGTTTTAAATTTATACTTTCATACATATTATATATATTAAAAATTTAAATAATTGATCACTAAGTAAATCAATTTTCACATTCACATGTACATTCACTAACAGGACATACTTTATGCTTCTGAAACCATTGTAGCATGTGTATTGCATGTCCTCCATGATGACATGATTGACACCATGTAAACCAAAGGTCAAATCCAAATGGTTCTAGAATAGAAATCAAATCAATCAATCTTATTATTTTCAATTTAAAAAAAATTTTTTTTACTTACTATCATTAGAAAATCCATTTTGCTGATTAGCAGCGATAGATTCTCTCTTACTATCAGTGGGTGTTCCAAGGCTCAATAAACATATAGAACATCGTGGTAAAGGTTTTCGACATCCAGGGCAACAAGTCGTCTTTAATGATGATTTAATAATTGTTATTAAATGAAATCATACACGGATGGATTCAACGAGCTGATTTCGAAGGAAATACCTTTTGTTTAGATATCATTCCAACCGCAGCCCCATAATAAGAAGCTGGTAGGGTAAATCTCTCTCCGTCCTTGCCTTTCATGCCGGGTATAAATAAACTATGTGTAATACTTTGACTACAAAAATTACATCTTACGTAAACTTGTGGTGGTACCATATCTGCCGCCGAGGATGTTGACGATATCATGTGTTTACCACGTGCAATATCAAATCTCGCACGTATATGAAACATTTGCCATTGATCCAACAGCATACGATAACTAAATAAAAGATTAATTTAGGTAAATATTATTATTATTATCAATCATTGGCTTTAAAAACAACTTACTTTTCTACCCAATTTGTCACTCTTGAATCTTTGAATTTTCTTGGGACACAAAAGCTCAGTGCCAGACTTGCTGTCTGAACGTCGCATGTATTATTTATATAATTCTCAAATAATGATACGCCTTCAGGTGTAAGACCAGTTAAAATGATTCCGTCTATATTACCGGTTGCAATTACTTTTTCAGTTATACCATGTAAGAAATTATTGAGCTAAACAATTATAAATTATTGAAAACCGTTAATTATCATATTTCTTTAAAACAAAAATATTTCTTATTTCAACGTACCTCTTCATCATTCAAAGATCTCAACGCAATGCCTATACGATCCTGTAAAGGAAGCCCCTCCTCTTGTAAAACATCCAACCAATGACCACATGCAATAAATGAAAAAATTGCTCGTAAATATGGATTACGCATTTCAACACTTAGATTTATACACATTTCACGCCAAAGTAGGCTTGCTTGATATGATACATCATTGTTATTTGCAGCATAACCAGCTAACGCTGTTGATACCAATTTCAATCGTTCATCTACATTATTAATAATATAATAAACCTCCGCGTTAAACCTCTCATACATGAGTCAAAAATTTGGTTTTAGAAATTATTAATTATCATACCTTTACTATTATTTAATGCTGCAATGGCTCTTTCGGGTAAATCATGAAATAATGCCCATCCAGCAGCTTTCTCATAATTACCCGCCCGTTCCATTCTAATGGAATCATAAATAATTAAATAAATAAAATTTAACTTTTTTTTAAAAAAGTATTCTTTACCTTTGAAGAGTTTCCTCTAATTCTTTCTTTCCAAAACCCCATCCACATATGGTCAATGCCAATTTTCTTTGTGATAATTTAGAAGTTAATACCGTGATAGGAATCTCATTTATATCGATTTCTTCCTGGTCAGATCTTTCAGAAAAAGATTTTGGTGGTGACGCTTTTGGAGTTGACATTGGTGACACTCTTTTACTGCCGCCAGTGGATGCTACTTGTAAAAAGGATTTTAAATTACTTAAAAAAAAAGAAAAATAATATACGATATTTCAGAAATCAATCAAAATATTAACCTTTCCATACTGAATGGATTCCTTGAAAATTAAAATCATTATTTCCTATGCATGATTTTCCTTCCGAAGAAAGTTTTTCCGCTCCTGATAAAACATAAAATTTATAGTTAGATACCTAGCTAATTATTTTAGAACACAAGATTGGCTATACATACGAGCTATCCAATTCCATAACGTTTTCAATTTTGGAGAGTCTCTTACAAGGTCTTCATTGGCACGACACTATATAAATAGAATTAGGTATAAAAAAAAGTAAATCCTTGAATATGATATCTTATGATTTGTTAACACTTACAATCATAGAATATCCTTGTTTGGCCCTCTTACGCATGACAACAGAAATATCTTCTTGAAATGTTTTTAAAGGCAATATTAACAGCTCTTTATCATCGTCATCTTTTTCTACCATCAGACCACCACCCATCGTCAAATCATCATGAGATCGATGCATCATTATACCTTTTAATTGTTTTTTTAGAACATTCACATCTTTAGAAGAATTACTCAGATCACTAGGTCTAGGTGTTCTATTCCCGCTACCATAATCGTTATCAACCTTTAAATCTAAAGAAACACGATGTTTATGTCCATAACCTGATCCACTATTACTACGATGATGATGTAAACTCTGTTCATTATTATTATTGTTGTATAAAATTCCATTATGATGATCATCACCGATATTATCACGAATGTCATCATCTCTTCTTCCAAAATCGCCATAATCATTAATTTTTTGATCAACATCGTATGTTTTGAACGAATTTGGACCAAATATTAACATATTACCACGTGGTTCCCAACCGAAATTTATACATTCTTCCAGTGTGACTGTTTCCAACGTTGACTCTTTATTTATCACCAACAATCGGTGTGAATGAGGCGATGACATGGTTGGTATCCAAGCAAAAGATACAAGAAGTTTCGATAATTTCTGTGCTTTTTGATTTATAATTTGGAATGATGTAAAATATCAATCAGATAGTCTAAATATAAAAAAAAAAAAAAAAAAATAGGCATGTAAGTTGGATACAAACTTTTCCTAGATTTCCATAATATAGGAATGTCGAGTTCATCATCTGCTTTACTGCCCGAAATAGATATACCCCCACCAACGCCAACTCCATTTCCATTAATCTTTTCATTAAACGCAGGATTATTAGGTGCTCCCATGACAATACCAGCTGAAGGAACAAATCCGGCGCCACTTCCCATAGAAGTGGTAGATTTCGCTATCGGCACGCCCCCATCACTACCAAATCCGCTATTAAGAGGATTAACTTCGTCAAGTGGAGAACTATTATTTGATAAAGTTGTCGAGTAAGGTTGCAATTTGCATGTAGTTTCTTGTATGTCATATAATGATATATAAGATGTATCATTGGATAAAGATGCTAGTAAACCCGATCGAGCTGTTGAAAATGCAATTCGTACTGGACGTGTCTCGGTGGGTATGCTTAGGACGTGAAAAATAAGATGAATGTTAAGGATAATTTTTTGTAAAATAAAATTTTTAATTTTTTTTTAAAAATAAAAAGGATATTGCTTCCGTAGCTTTACGATCATCCCATAAAAGAATATTTCCCATATTACTGCTAACTTCCTCAAAACTAGCAAATCTATGATCATTATATGGATCAGTCTTTACTCCAAAAACAGCTTTAGTCGTTATTGTAATGGCAGGATTTTCCGTTGCTAAAAAGCATATATAATTGTAAATTATCAACGTTTTCACTATAAATTCAAATGAAAAAAAAAGATTATGATATTCATAATAATTACATCTTAAATCAAAAATCTTCAAAAATTTCCCCGACATTCCAGCAACCAATTGTTTCGTTGTACGAATCCAACTTATAGAATTAACATATTCTGATAATCCAAAATTGTGAATAGGTTTTGTTTCATCAGTACGCGTATTATAACTTTTTTAACATCCCACACGCGTACATAAGGGAATAAATTTATGGAAAGAAAAAAATTTCAGCGGAATTCAAACGGAAAAGAAATAATTTGTCTTTTTTGTATCAAATAATGTCATCTTCACCTCGCTGCGGGTTGAGGTCTTGGAACGAATGGAGATTCATACATTGAATAACCAGACCTTGCCATCTCTATTAAAAACATATTAGATTTTTTTATTATAGAATGAATCTAATATTTTACTTGCGTTATTATTACAATACCTAATGGATAAGTGTAATTATCATCCATTACAACGGAGCCAATTCCCCTCCCACCAAATCCACCGGGAGAAACTCCAACATCATTATGATCACTTTTAACACTCCAACCACTAATGCTACCGGTTCTACTAGGCATCTCTGCGGATAATTTCGGCGTATTACAATAATTTTTATCTCCACATTTTGCAGCTCTTTCGACATCCCAAATTAATAAACAATAATCATTCCTAACTTTATCAGATCCGGTTGCTAATAATCTTGGATCTGCCAGAGAAAATTCTACCTCGTTACATGGTTTTGAATTTTTAGAATTTAAAACTGCATATGGTGGTTGTTGAGAAAGTACATTAAATGGTTTTGATGATGTTAAATAATTATTTACATGAGATTCGCTTAACGTTGATTCATCATGAATATTAACAAGATATGTTTTGCCATTTGCAAATCCTGCTGCAATTAAACTCGGAAAATTGGAGTCAGGTGACCAAGCAATGCACTATATAATGAAAATGTTGGAATTTCAATCGATAATCATGAAAATCAAAGAAAGTTAACTACATACCCTCATTGATGCTATATCTGGATTCACAAAAATCAATTTAAAATTTGCTGGTCCCTAATCCCAATGAAATTATTAAAATAGTTAAGGAATCGAAACATATGGCCTTTCGCGCGCTTTATGACAAACCTTTGGAATATATTCATATAACCTTAAATCATTATTTGATCCAATCAAAAATAAATTAGAATCTTTGTGTGGTGACCACAGAATTCGGCAATTCAAACGCGAAGTTGACATGTTTTTAAAATAACTAAATATAATTATATATTACAGAATAAAGCATAATTAAAATAAAAAACTCTGTGGCTTGATCCATTATAAAAATAATTTCACAATAATTTGTTCACGATATCACGTGACCACCCGAAAATTCTGCAGTCACGTGAGAAATATGCTGATCCTTTCCCAAAATGTTTAATTAATTTTGGCGATACTTTAGAAATTCAGAAATTATATATATTTTCTCCTTAACAAGTTTACTTAGAATAACAAAAAGAGTTTTAAATGCCATTGTTTAGCAAAACAAACATTTTTGAAAAATATATATAAAAAGTCAAAAATAAAACTAAGTAAACTTGTAAGAGTATGTAAAGTTTTATTCAAAAAAAAATATTTTTCGTTTTTATGTTAGGAAATAATTGAATAAATATCATGTGACTGCAGAATTTTTCAGGATGCTTTTGGGGTAGTTGACCTAATTAGTTATAAATTTTTTAATGCAAATGCATAAATAAAAATATGAAACATATATTTATACACAAACTATTGTAAAATTTCCAACAGTTTTAAAACAATTAAACACAAAAGATTGCATACTTTTACTTTTTTATTTACTTGATTCATAAGAGTGTAGTACTTTAAAGTAGATACCTACTATTTTTTTTTTTATAATTACATATTCAATAATATCACTTTATTGCATTAGGCTAAAATTTATTATATATGTTTTTTTTAAGCTCATCATACTTAAGAATTGAATCCAACCTCTAACCCTTAAATAGCTATAGATGCTATGATGATTAAAGATAATATAATATCAACTACTTATAATCTGTAATTAATTGGTGGTAGACAGATTATCATCATAAGCATTATCCTAGATCTCTATTTAGTGCACTAATGCCTTAAGTGGAATACAGTGTATAAAATCTAAGTTAAAATTTATGTGCACAAATTGATTAATTATTACTAAAATAAGAAAATCATAACATT